ACTGACGTGAATGGCTTTTCTGGGAAGCCCCACGGCAGCCCACAGTGCCCTGCAGTTCCCAGTCACTCCGGGTAGTCCCCAGAATGTTGCTGAGGGACATGGCAGGCAGAGTAAAGATGCATAAGTCTCTGTCATCTAGGAGCCAGACTCAAGGAGACTGAAGGCTTCATTTCCTCTGCTGACTGAATGTATGGGGTCCCTGGTCTGCTTTGAAAGGGATGTGCTAGGATTTCAAAGCCAGCCCTGCAGCCTGCCAGCAACGATGCTGACTACTCATGCAGCCAATATCTCTCTGTCATTCGTGCCACCTGCAACACAGAGTAGCACAGTAAAATAATTTGGGATCAAAAATGTTCAATGAAAGAAAGAAACTTTTTTTCACTTCCAGGCAAGGTTTTTGGTGTTGTTATTGTTGTTGCATTTTTTGTTTTGTTTTCTTTTTGTCTTGTATAAAACAGGTAATAGTTGGGGCGCTTGGGTGGCTCAGTCGGTTAAGTGACTGCCTTCAGCTCAGGTCATGATCTTGGGGTCCTGGGATCGAGCCCCACATTGGGCTTCCTGCTGGACGGGAAACCTGCTTCTCCCTCTCCCACTCCCCCTGCTTGAGTTCCCTCTCTCGCTGTGTTTCTCTCTGTCAAATAAATAAATAAAATATTAAAAAAATAAAAATGAAACAGGTAATAGCCTCCGAAGAGGGAGGGAGATGTGCTAGCTCATAGTCACCTGTCATTCATTAATCCCAATCACAAATGCTATTGTTCTGCTCCTGCCAATCAGCATGGCATTGGAGGGACTGCTTCGAATATGAGGGTGACTTCTTCTTCCTCATCTTACTGCCTTTTCACTCTCTTTTTGTATGCAACTACATTGTAGCCAAATACAAGAAGGCAGAGGAACTGTCTGCCTTGTTTGCCACTGTCTTTTTTCCAGTTCCTTCCCTCAGAAGCAGACCCTGGGCCAAAGATTCATGCAAGTAATTTATCTGAGAGGTGATTCCAGGAAACAGTGGTTGGGAAGGGAGACAGAGAAGGGAAGTTAGCCAAAAACAGAAGCATTACGAAGCAAGTTACATCATGGGTAAGTGGAGCTTAATCCCATGGGTGAACTCTGGGAAATAGGGTATTACACAAATCTCAGAGTTATCCCACCTGAGGAGTGAGGAAATTGGGGTATTTATATGTCAATTTTCAGCAGTCATTGGTAGACAGCTGTTCCTATGTAACATTAATTGTACAGGGGAAAAAATGAACCTTAAGTCCGACTTCATTTACTATAAACAATTTAATGAAAGAAGGGTCATGTACCCAGATGTAAAAATTGGAACCATAATTTATCTAGAAGAAAACATAGGAAAATATGTGTACAACCTTAGGGTAGGCCAACATTTCTTAGGACACAAAAAACACTGAAAAAAAAATCTGAACGATTAATAAATTGGACTCCAGTCAGAATTAAATAATTCTGCTCTTTGCGAAACGTTATTAAGGAAATGAAAAGGCAAGTCACAGAATGTTTTTAATGCATGTATCTGACAAAAGACTTATATCCAGAATAGGTAAAAAACTCTTGCAAATGAATAATGGCAAAAGATTTGAACAGACACTTCATAAAATAGGATATACAAATGGCCAGAAAGCCATTGGAAATGGGGCTCAATATTATTCATCATCAGAGAAATGCAAATTAAAACCACAATGAGACATCACAATAAGTCCACTACAGTTGCTAAACTGAAAGGATTTGACAAAGCAAATGTCAGCAAGCACAACTGGACCTCTCAGGTGTTGCTGGTAGGAGTGCCAAATGATACAAGGATTACTGCCACACACTCCTTTGCAGGTTTTTATAGGATAAAACCTATCTCTCAAGAATATAGCAATTTCACTCCTAGGTATAGATTGAAGATAATCAATAGCACGTATCAACAAAAAAGACTGGTACAAAAATGTTCATAGCAGCTTTTAACAAAATACAGAAAAAAACCCGAATGGCCATCGACAGGTAGAGAACAAATTACAATACAATCATACAATAGAATGCTATTGAGCACTAAAAAAGGTTGAACTACTGATACACATCACAACATGGGATGAACATAAAGACAAAATTATACCAACCAAAGGAAGCACATATAAAAGGGTACATTCTGTATGGTTTCATATATATTAAGTTCAGAAGCAGGAAAAGCCAAGCTATAGTGATAAAAATCTGACCAATGCTTGCCCTTGGGAGTTGGAGAGTGTCAGGAACAAGACATTCCTAAGAGAATCTGGGGCTTTCGGAAATGTTTTATATCTTGTCTTGGATGGTGATTATACGAGTGTTTAGAAGTGTCAAAACTTGCTTGTAATATCTGTGCTTCTATTGTGTAAAATTGTACCTTGATACATATTATAGATTTATCTTTAAAAAAGAAAATACAGGGCGCCTGGGTGGTTCAGTCCTTAAGCATCTGCCTTTGGCTCAGGTCATGATCCCAGCGTCCTAAGATCGAGCCCCATATCGGGCTCCCTGCTCAGCGGGGAGCCTGCTTCTCCCTCTCTCCAGCTCCCCTGTGCTTGTATTTCTTGTCTCGCTATCTTTATCATTAATAAATAAAATCTTAAAAAGATAAAAGAAAATACAATGACCATTAAAAATATGGAGTAATTTGCTCAGTGTTCTGCATCCTCTTCCCCACTCCCTCCACCTTCTTGCTAGACAGTAAGCTTCAGGAGGGTAGAAGCTGTACCTGGTTTGATCTCTACTGTATTCCCAGCACCAAGTATAGCATCCGGGATCTTTTGAATGCACAAGTCACATTTGTTAATATCGTAAGTTTTTAAGAGTCTCTGTGCATTGTACTGTGGCTTTCTCATATCTCCCTTTGCAGACATGATTTGTTCTTGGCAGACGCTGGTGGCCCCAGAAGCTCAAGCACAGGTGCATTGTCTAGGAAGGGAGCTTGCAGGTGGGAACCCAGCAGGGCCCTCGGTGTCCTTGGGCACTGACAGGGTCCCAACTGTGAGCACCATCTGTTCCTGTGAAGGTGTCTGACAGCATCTTCAGTCCTGGACCTGGAAGGTGAGCGCCTCTGAGACCGAATGTCAGGCTCCCGTTCCCATCCTCCTGCCTACAGGGAGCCCATAGAAAGTCTCTTTAACCCTGTGATTAGAAAGCACCAACATGTGTACCACTTTGTAACTGACCAAGTATTTTCCCTCATATGGTCTTATTTTATCTTTCCTCTGGCCCCTTAAGATGGGTATTTGCTAACCCTATTTTACAGAGAGGTTAAGTGACTTCCCCAAGGTCACAGGGCTGGCAAGTGGTGGAACTGGGACTCACATCAAGTTTCTAACTATTTACTACTATATTAAATGTCCTAGTGCTGTGTCATTTAAGGACCTTCAGAAGCAGTTTCTGAAATCTGAAATGGAATGATGAGTAACATTAATCCTCTGCCTTGAGTGCAGTTTGTTCTGTATGCCCCTGAAAGATTAACCTGCCTAGACCACCATTATAACAGTATCACTCCCCTACACACATTTTCCATGCTCCTTATCACCTACCAAGTAAAATTCACTCTCTTTAGCTGCTGTTCTTTGCTTTTTTGCCCCTGAGGCCTTGTCTTCCTTGAAACACCTTCCACTCTGCCTGGTTGTGTCACTATCTCCATCTCTGAAACTTTGTTCCTCAACGTGTCCTCCATATGGAATATCAGTTTCTTTTATGTTCCCTTGGGGAACTTTTTCTCACCCTTAAAGTTCGCACTGAAATGCCACCACCACTCTCCATCTGAATTCTCAGAGCACATGGTTTGTGCCCTTTCTGTGGCAGTAACTATCAGGTATCATGGGTACCTCTCATTGTCTTCCTTATAAGATCCTAGGAGGCTAGACGCATGAGCTCCTAGAAGGCTAGAAATATGCCTTACCCATTTCTGTAACCCCTGTACTGACCAGTGTAATTACACACTATGGATATTTAATCAGTGCTTTGTAGAATGAATAAACTACCACCTCTCTAAACATTGTCTATGCATTTACTACCCTTTGACATTTAGTTTTAAAAATTATTTGCATTATAACTCTATTTTATGTGTTTGGTTAACATAGTCTCCATCCTCTGTATACTCTGCATCTGGTTTGACACAGACCCAATGAATACCTAAATTCTTCCTGAGTGGGGCAGACGCTTGGAGAGACTGTGGAGACCACACTTTTGCCCCGGCTGTGTAACCTTGGACAAACCACTTTAACCCTCAGGACCTTATTTTGCCTCCCATTTATTCAATGGGGGCAGTAATATCTGTTTTGCTTCTTTAATTCACAAGGTTGTTGGGAGGACAAATGAAATAACAGATGTAGAAGTGCTTTGTCGACTATAAATCACCCAGACCTGTCATTTAGTTGCACCTGCTGCTTGACTGGGGCACACCTTTTATAGCCGTCAGCATCCCACCCAATTGCTCTTCTCTTTGGGCAAGCACTTGACAGTCTGGAGTATGTCCAGAGGGCCACAGAATGAGGAGAAAATAGCCTTACTTCCTGAATGGCGGGCGGAATTGATGCAGTGTTGTGATGGGTTTGGGGTGGGCCATTTGAAAGGCTGCTGTTAAGGGAAACACATTTGTCCACGCAGCCTCGGAGAGCCGGCCTGGTCCCAGCGCGCAGAAGTTAGTTTTCAGAAATGTCCCAGTCTAAGCGTTTGGACCGGCTGGACCGTGACTTGAACTGCCTGAGGGCCCCAGTGTAGCAGAAGCGAGGCCCACCATCATTTACAAGCGTTACAGCCCCACTTCCAGGTGGAAGTTACTATCTCCACTTTGCCCACCAACAGGAGAAAGCGCACGAGGTCCTGAGTGACGCCCACAATCCCAGCAGCCCCCTGCACGTGTCTTCGGGGCCTGCCCATTGGCTTCCACTTGCGGGGAAGGTGGGCCTTGGGCCATCTCGCTTCCTGATTGGTTGGCTGCGCGGATTGGTATGGGCCCGCTCGCTGCGCACGACCCAAAGCCCGATATGGCGGAGGCGGGAAAAGAGCTCGCCAGCCTCGCGTTCCCGGGAGGAGGTGCGGCTCAGTGGCCTCTGCAGCGCTATGGCCGCTTCATGCCGTCGGGTACCGGAGAGCCGCCTGGGCTTGGTCAGGACGTTGGGGCAGCGTCTTCCCCCACATGGAAGGTGAGGCCTGTGGGCAGGAAAGGCCGCGCATGCTCAACTCCTGGAAAGAGGGAAGACCGGGGCTAGCAGCCACACTGGGCCTAGTCTGCCGCCCAGGCGGGAGGAGGGGACACCGCGGGACTGACAAGACTGGCTAGCCAGGAGCTAACGGGAAACGTCTGTATGTAATCTCATAATTGGAGCCAGTACATTCTCAAGATAATTACGCAAGGCAGTAGTCTTATGTTCAACAGATTAACGAGCGGTAGTTGTGTGTGAGACTTGATTCAGGGGCTGGGGATATGTCAGTGAACAAGGTATGTCCCTACCCTCATTTATGTTTTCAGCCTAGTGGGGGACACAGTATTATCCAAATAACTTCCTAATTATTTAAACCAGTTCCATACCCTTATGTGGAAGGAAGGGTTGAGTAGTCCATGACCAAGTTATGCCAGGGGCGGTCAAGCACTCCCACAGAAGAAGAACTAAATTTAAATCCTTGCTTTGCTGCTGAGTTTCTCTGACCTTGGTTGAGTTGTCGATCCTCTTTGTACCTTAATTAACTTACCTCAAAATGGAAATAATAATAGTATCCCCTTCATAGCATCATTGTGAGCCATGAATAATTTAATATATGTAAATTACTTCGAACAGTCCTGGTAAAATTATAGAAGCGTTTGCTGTTACTATTTTTTGTTGTTGTAGTGGTGGTGTGTTTTAATGCCAGGAGTTGCTAGTCATTCAGTTCCTTTTGGTCAGGTTTCACTGTTGGTTGTGGACCCTGAAGTTTTGGATTATGCCTGTGCATGCATATGTCAGTGTGATTTGGGTAGAAGAGTAAAAGAACAAATACTTCAGGTAGCATTTGCAGCATATGCAAAGGCCTTACACCTGGAAAACCTCAGCACGTGTAATGTAGAGAGGAAAAGAATAAGGCTGGTACTTAGAGAACAAATAGAGTGAGAGCATAAGGTGGAGAGACAGGTGCCTTGTGAACATTATCCTAAAGCTAGTTGGAAGCCACTGAAGGTTTTAAGTAGAAGAATTTTCATATTGGAAAGATCACTCTGGTTGAAGTCTGAAGACAGAGTTGAAGGGGAATATGAGAAGATTCAGGAAGATCCCTTAGAATGCTGTTGTTGCAGGCAAGTGATGATAATGACTTTGACTAGAGTGGGGCTGCTTTGGAGAGGATGGCAGTAGGGATAGGGAAATGGGACATATAATAACTATATTTTAGAGTCCAAAATGACAGCACGTGAAGGTTGATAGGATATAGGTGGTGGGAGTAAAGGACTTCTGAGCTTCTAGCAGGAGCAACTGGGTAGATGGTTGAGGAATGGAAAGCACTGGAGGAGGAACAGTGAAAGAAAGATCCAAGGCTTCAGTTTTGGATGTATTGAGTTTAAATGTGTTTGAAGAATTCAAGTAGAGCTGTTGAGGTAGTTGGGTATGCTGGTGTAGAAGAAAGATGTGGGCTGGAGATGAAGGTGTCATCAGCATGAAGGTGGAATTTATAGTTATGAGATTTCAGGACCGAGTCCCAAGATGGCCCAACATTTGTAGGTTAGGTAGAGGGGACAGAGTCCCTAAAGAAGATTGACAGGGGACAGGGAGTTGGGGGGGTATCCAGGAGAAAGTATCAAAGCTACAGAAAGTTATTTTAAGAGGGAGAGAACAGTGAACTTTGTTGAACGATGCTGCAGAGTGGAGAAAAAATGATGGCTAGGGGGTGTCCATTGGATTTGGCAACATGAAGATCCTTACAGTATTTACCAAGGGAAGTTTCAGTGGAGTGAAATGGTGGAAGCCAGATGAGATGGGCTGGCTGTTGGGTGACTGGTAGGTGAGTGAGCGGAGCCACCATGCCTAGACAATTCTTCTGAGAGGCTTGGCTGTGGATGAGAGTAGATATGGGGCATAATGAACTGTTCACCAAATCCTCAAATATTAGATGTAGGGCACCACTTAAAGCTTGAAATCAATACATCTAGAATCATAAAAAAGGCATTCAGTGCCTCCTTGTATTCTTATAGAATGTATATCCGGAGAAATTATATAGGCTGCAAACACAAAAAAGGATGAATAAAGTTAAATTGAAGGATGACTGATCTATTATTGTGTTTTATAAAAAAAAAAAAAAAACAGGGACGTTTGAAGAATATGTAAATTCTGAGACTGCCCAACACTTTCCTTCACACCTTCTCTTAACACCCCTTCAAACCCTTTCTCCTAAGGCTCCTGTATTGGGTGCATTGGCTCATATGCCTATGGGTAACTCTCGGATTCTTATCCTGCAACCAGAGGCCATGGACATTTGGCTATTGTAAGGAATTCATTGTTATTACAGTTATTTTCCCCTTCTTTTTGCAAAGCTTTTCATAATTGCTTATGAGGAATGGCACTTTTCAACAGTTTTCAAATATTTGGCATAAAGCCACAGCTACAGTGACAAGAGATGAAGTTGGCTTTTGCAGTGCTTTTGAAAACAGAACATTTGTACCTTCCTTTGAATCTGTGCTGAAGCATCCTACCTGCTGTGATCAGTTTCAGCCTAGGTCTGTCATTTTTCTTTTTGGAAAAACGAAAGAGAAAACAAGATTTGTTCTATTTTATGTGCACTGTGACTATTGTGCAATAGTAATAATAAAAGATGAGCCATCTAAAGAACTGTACTAAGTCCCATGTGAATGTCTGATTTTAAAAATATGTGGTACCTGCAGTAAAAAAAATGTGTTAGGTAAAGCATAAAAATATATTATTGTGGAGGATTGAGTCATTCTGGTCGTTTTTTTCCTAGGGAACTTTCAAGTTGAACTTGGTTTAAACTACTTTGGGTTTTTTTATTTTTATTTTTTTCTGAAGGTATAGCAAGAACTGATCTGGTATTTTTCTGTATAGTTATTTAATTACAGAAACTTTGTCACAATGGCCACATGCTAGGGGCCACAAAAATGTTGACTCAAGAGAAAATATGGATAGTACAACAAGTCTTCTAAGACTTGAAATCCTGGGGCGCCTGGGTGGCTCAGTGGGTTAAGCCGCTGCCTTCGGCTCAGGTCATGATCTCAGGGTCCTGGGATCGAGTCCCGCA